CGTGGCTCATTAGACGGCCCCAGCCACACCTCGAAGCTTGATGAAGTCAAAATTCTCGCAAAAGGGGACAACCGTGTGAGCCACCAGTTGCTTGAGTGACGATTTTCCCGCCCCAAGTCAATTAACAAGCATAACGACCTCCCGCCTGAATACTCTGTGCTGAGGCTTTGCCTGGAAAAAGGAATTAGCCACGTGGAGAGGGCGGGTGGCCAACAATTCTAGTGACAGCGGGCCGAATTGCAAATTAATCCTTATGCCAAGAATCAAGGTCGGTAATACAATTTCAGCAATTAACGGTAGCGGTAGGGTAGGGTAAAGGACCCCAAGCATCTGCGACCAGCATCAGGACCCTCTCATATGGGAAGGTGGTAATAGGGGTTTTACGGATGGGGCATATTGGTGATATGTGAACTGGCAAGGCACGTAAGATATTTGTTTTTGGGCCATAAAACTTTTAATAATCTGGCATATAGCAACGGAAAGCAGGTGCATTCAGTAACTAAAAACCATCAATAAATAAATTTCAAATAATAAAGCAAATTAAGTGGACCGCCACTGGATAGTTTACAGCAGGTCAGGAACCCAAGGAAAGTTCATCCAACGAGAACGAAGAAAGATATGTGAGGGAGCCAGCCGCACTGAAATTTAGTGTACGGTTTTGCGATACTGGTGAACGCTAGACCAACGAAACCTGACCAGCTCAGTACGCATACTGGAATTCAAGGACGTAAGTAATAAGCGAGCACGTTATTTCCGATGTAGGATAACTGTGGACGACCATACGAATTTTAAAAGTTTAAGTAGTTAAACAGCATTTACCTAAAATGAAGGGCATTTGTGTGGTGGTGGTGGCGGCGGCGGCGGCGGCGGCGGCGGCGATGGTGATGGTGGTGGTGGTGGTGGTGGAGTTCTTTTTCCAAAAATTGCAGGCCATCGGCCACAGTAGTCAAAAAATGGACAAACTCAGCCACATCTTTTGACGAAAACCGAAGAAATAAGAAAAGAGATGAATTCGGAGAAAGTGTTGGAGCATTGCCAGTCAAGAAGATTACTGCCAACTGTGGTAACTTGCAAATGCAGACAGTTACTGCAACAACAACAAGTCCGGAGGCGTCATGCAGATGGATATGTCTTCAGATGTGTTCGCTGCCGAAGAAGGAAATCCCTTAGAACTGACTCGATATTTAAAGAGGGCCGACTCATATTCGGGACAGCCCTGAAGATATTGCTGACATTTTTTAAACAGAACAAGGCTGACGGATTCCGAAAAAAAACATTGGCGTATCTCACACATCAGTTTTTGGGTGTTATTCACTATGTCGAAATGTATGCCCCGCAGCCCTCACAAAGGAAACCAAGCAGATCAGTGGACCAAGGATAGAAGTACAAGTAAATGAAACCCTTATCGGCCGGCGTAAATACAACCTCGGTAGACGTAAAAGGCAATGCCATGGGAATGAAAGAAGCAAGAAAAGTCCTCCTTTTTCACGTACCTAGCTGAGACATATACTGGTTAAGGTAAAACCGGCACTGTAGAAGTGGACAATTTTGAGAGTAATTTTCCTTGCATAAAGTCATTTCAAGCTAACTGTCCTGTAATACCTAAGACATTGGGACTACAACAGAACAATCGTTTTCTCGTCTTTTTATCCTACGGAAACGTTTGCGACGGACGACCGATGCGATATGACACGACTGTTTCTCAACTCTCTGAGCTTAGGTCATGGCAAGTAATGGTAAGTTAAGAAGTAATGTCTACGATGGAGGACGGAAGCAATATAATAGGTTGGCAACTATCTCAGCTAATGTCATGAAAAAGACTGGTAAATTGAATCGTAGCGTCTGCGGCGGACAACCGAAGCAATACAATCGCTTCTGAACTTTCTGAGCTAGGTCATGCTAGGTGATGGTAAACTGAGGGCTAATGCCTGCGACGGGTTTGAAGGGTCAATTAAGCTAGTAAGTTAGCGAAATTCACACGAAAAATGTGTGCTGCAAGGCAGCTCAACGGCCGCGAGCAGACAAAAGCGGAAGTGCGAAACCGAATGCGAACTCCATGTGAAGAGCAGTAGTGAAAAACCTAGGAACTACTTAGGTAAATACAGCGAACAGTTTTTTGTATACAACAGATGCTTGAGGTCCTTCTCCCTGCCGTCAGCCAATCAACGATTCGAATGTAGAGTGACGAGAAAGCATCGTGTAAAATACGTCCCTCGACGATGAACGCGAGAGCTGCTAATTAGAGCACGAATGTGGTTGCGTGGCAACTGTGTCCTGTAAATATTTCCCTCTTAATGCATCTATTACCCTTACCGACGACTATCTCTATTGATGGGTACGAGTGAGAATCCGGAACGTCAGGGCCGTCCAGTGGATGTCATTTTCTTTAAATTTAAGAAGGCGTTTTTTAGCGTTCCTCATGGACGACTCCTACAGAAGCTTTGGGAGTGTGGAATACAGGGCAGCACTTTTAAGTGAATTAAAAGTTTCCTGTCATGCAGGCTCCAAAGAGTGATTGTTGGTGCCACTGCATCCGAATGGGTGCCAGTAAAAAGCGACGTTCCGCGAGGTTCAGTCTTGAGTCCTCTCCTCTTCCTCATCTGTATGAATGACTGTCCTGCAGACCTTGAATGTAATGGCATCATGTTTGGGAATGATATAAAGACCTGGACGAAAACCAGCTGTGTTAAAGACTCACAGAAACTACAGGTAGATGTTAGTAAGTTGGCTGCTTAGTCAAGCAAGTGGCTTATAGCGTTTAATGCATCCAAATGTGTAGCTTTGAGCCTAGAATCTGGTCGAAGGCGCTTTCCAAAACACCAGTACATCATAAATGGGTTTCCACTAAAAGAAGTAGACACTCAAAAAGACCTAGGTGTCTGGACAAGTCCCAACTTGCTGCCCTCCGAGCACTGCCAAAGGAGTCGTCCAAAAGGCAACCAGCATCAAACATTGGATTAGGCGTGCCTTCACAATCTTTCCTCCCGAAATCTTCTCACAGATATTCAGCACGTTCGTCAGACCGCATTTGGAATACAGAATGTCAGCATGGACGTCCTGGATGAAGAAAGACAATGATGCCATAGAGAAGGTGCAACGACGGGCCACAAGACTGGTGGACGGTCTCAGAATTCTGTCATACAGAGAAAGTCTGATCCAGTCAAACTTCTCCCCAGTATCCTATAGACGAATGAGTTGTGACCTGCTATGGACATTCCGCATTATCCACGAACATGCATGTTTTCTCAAATCCGAAGACTTCTTTGACTTCACGACCATGAGTCACTTGCGCGGTCATCCGTACAAAGTCAATCTGGAGAGTACACGCCTAGACCATCAGAATTTTTCCTTCAGCCAGCGTTTTCTTCGACCGTGAAACTCACTCACAAGTTAAATGGTGGCATCTGATACAATGACTGTATGCAAAAGGCAACTGAACCGTTTGATCTTTGATAAACGACGACTCTCAATGTAGGACTATCTGCGGCCAGCCATAGATTTTATTTCCTGATTTCATCCCTATGTAACACATCCCTGCATGTTTCACGAAATTTTGCCTCGCAAACAACGCGAATGACTGCACTTTATGCTGATTGTATATAATTGCACTTAAAATTTCATATATACATGGAAATGACCGCCTACCGCACCCTTCACAGTCCCGCACTGTAAAAACTATTCCCGCCGATAAGGGAAACGGTAATAAAGATTAGACTTGTTAAACAAACTTTGGCTTAATCTCCAGGAATGGATGGATAATGACGTTTACCTTTTCATGTTTTTTGCAGGCCTGATGCCATATCGAATTTTCCATGAAAGCGAAGCAGGATCTGCAGACTTGAAAGAAACAGTCTTCTAATTTTTTAGTAAGTTAACGTACCCTGGAATCAAACTTCTACGTTGAGCACATCCAAAGCTGAATCAGCTCTATGATAGTTGGACCGTCGATTACGACGATGTCCACCGCGCGCTCCACAGCAGGGTGGGAGCAGGGACGGTGGCATGCGCAGGATTTATAGCGAGAGTAGACTTGTGCTGCATCTACCAAATTCTCTCCTCCTCCCCTACCTAGATCCGGTGTCAAGGCGGAGTCAAGAAGACCGGAGACGTGGGAGGACGTAATTAGATGGCACGTTCGAGCCCGCACATTGGCGTTTCACTCTACACTCCCTGGTCCACACAAGAAATAACCGGGTTTTGACTAGCAACAAAGAGAGTGGAGGCTGGCGCGGCCGAAGCCGCGCCTTGGCGTGTGGTCACACCTGGCTCGGATCCCAAGGAGTGGGAGTGTCATAAAGGTTACATTAAGAAGGAACCATTACAGCCTAACTCTCAGACCAAAAGTCGGCTGCTCCACACAAACGCATAACACTGGGCCGACTGCAAGGTCCAAATTACCCCGTCGGTTGGTAACCTTTCAAGCCACGGCTTTTAGCGCACCGTGATAGCTTTAAACGCATTAGGTTGTTTGTAATGAGGAAAATGCACTGAGTCGTCGACTTTAGGCCCTCTTCTAATTCCCACAATTCAGCCACTGTCTGAGCCGATCAGTTGACTGAAGCGTACAATGGGCGCGGTGGCTGACATATCCCGTGACCTTTTCTGGACGCGCCACACGCACGACCCGACCCCCCAAACACAAAGACCAGGATTTCACCCAACTGGGGTTGGATGGCGTATCTCTCAATCGTGTGAGTGTGCCGTAGAAGGTGCTGTTTCAGACCATCTCCCAGCGCACCATCCCACCACTCCACACAAATACACATAACTGGACGGACTGCGTAGACCAGGTTGGGACGTCAATCAGCAGCCTTCCTATCCACGGCACATTACGCGCCGTGACAGTACAGGCCGCACGGAGACCGAGCCGAGACGTACACTTCCCACTTGTGTGGGAGGTGGCAGCTGGGTGCTTGCGGTAGGTAATGTTGATGTGTGGTGAGATGGTGGTGAGGGGGATGCAATGGTGTGATGAAGTCGGCGATTGTCCACCGCAGGTTTTAGTGGATGCGCATGTGGCAGAATAGACCCATGCGGTGCATGAATATGCGAGGGCTGTGTGGAAAGTGGAGACGGATGCGGCGGGTGTAGGCTGGTGCTTTAGGCACTGGTTCGTCAGTCTCTGTGCGATGGATTCGCAAGCAACCGACCAGGCCGATGTGGGAGGTGAAGACGGGGTCGCAGTGAGGACATGTGTAGTCCTGTTCCTCTCCACTGGTGGTGTTGGGGTTTGTTGGTGTGTCAGAATAGTGTGTGGTGTTGATATGCATGTCAGAAACCACAACGACGGACGTTGGGGTGGTGAAGGAGGAGGAGGAAGAGGAGGAGGAGGAGGAGGAGGAGGAGGAGGAGGAGAAGGATGGAAGTAGTGGTTTAGAGGGGCGTCCAGAGTTAGTTGTCGGTGTAGGAGGCGAGAAGTGGTGGACGGAGAGGCGACGGTTGGTGCGTTCCGAATGGTGTAGTTGATTCGAAGGTGTCCAACAAGTCCACTTGGCGCCCAGAATGTCCGTTGACACCGTGGACAAGTTGGAGGCCGTTCGAAATCCTGCGGGCGACCGTCGTCGATTTTTGTCCTGTCGGAGAGAGTACTGCCCAGGTACGGGAAGTTGGCCACCACTCACAGTTGGGTTTCGTTCACGCTGATCTGTGGCGCATTGTGGGGGGGGGACTGTGTTGGGTGGCGGTTGGCGCATAACCACCGTCTTCCCTTGTTAATGACCACAACGAAGTTCTCTCAGGCGGCGGAGAAGAGTTTCATGCTCCTTTGCATGTCTCTTTCAGCAGTTGCATTGAGGGCACAGTCATCGGCGAACAGAAGTTCGTGGACGGTGGTTGTGGAGACATGTGACTGGAAGTGCATCCTCCGTTGATTGAGGAGGTGGCCTTCCTTCCTGTAGACGATGCGGATCTCGGGGCGTTCGTCACAATAGGCGTCCATTAGCATGGCAGAAAACATAAGACTGAAGAGGGCGGGCGCCAGGACGTATCCCTGCTTCACTACGTTGGTTACTGCAAATGCCTCTGAGACGACTTTATTGTCGGGGACGCGTGCCGTCATGCCATCGTTGAGAACTATCTGAGTGAGTCGTTCGGGACAGCTGAATTTCTTCGTAATCTTTCACAGTCCTTAACGATTCAACGTGTTGAAGGCTTTCGTCAGATCCACGAGGGTAGAGTTTAGATGGGTCCGCATCTCCTGGAACTTCTACTGAAGTTGACGGGCGGCGATCATATCCGTGGTCCCGCGATGACGGCGGAAGCCGCACTGACTTTCCGGCAGAAGACCTTGTTCTAGGTGATTATTCAGGCGGTTGAGGAGGATGCGAGCAAAGATTTTCCCGGCGATGTTCAGCAAGGAGATGCCTCAGTGATTGTCGCAGAGCTGCCGGTTTCCTTTCCGCTTGTATAGATGCACGACCGTGATGTCCTTGAAATCCTGCAGGACTTCTCTTTGACGCCATATATCCTGGAAGAGGGCAGTCGGGTGATCCATGAGTTGGGGGCCACCGTGCTTGTAGACCTCAGCAGGAATCGCGTCCGATCCGGGCGCTTTCCCGCTGCAGAGCTGCTGCACGGCCCTGCTTGTTTCATGGAGAGAGGGCGGGAGGTTGAGGTCCACGTTGGTCTCCACTTGAGGCAGACGGATGATGGCGGCGTCGGAGATGGTGAAGGGGCGATTGAGGACACCTCGGAAGTGCACGGCCCATCGCTGTAGTATTTGTTTCTTCTCGGTGAGGAGGGTACTGCCGTCGGCGCTGAGGAGAGGAACAGTGCCTTTGGTTGGCGGACCGTAGGCAGCTTTGATCGCGGTGAAAAAGTTCTTCCATTCGTTACGGTCCGCGTACCCTTGGATCTCATCAGCCTTGCGAGCCATCCAGGCGTCCTGCATTCGCGCAGTCGCTGTTGAACGATGCGGTTCTGTTGTCGTCGGTGGGGTGGTCTACATAGGTTTTATGCAGGCGGTTCTTGGCGAGCAGGTTGCTGATTGCGACGTCGTTGCCATCAAACCAGCCCTGGTGTTGGCGGCGTGCTCGACCAAGGACGGGCAGCGTCGTCGACTGAACTGCGTCCCGCAGCTCACACCACCGGTTCTCTATGGAGGCGTTCTTGCCAGCGGCAGCGGCAGCGACCGGAAGTTTGTCTAGCCACTGACCTAGCTCGTTGCTGAAATGGAGATGGTGAGCGGGCAAAGACAACAAGACAATATTCAGTTTGTATGAGGGTCGCTTATCTGGTGGTCTCCTGCAAGGCTGTAGACGAATCCGCATCTTGGAGATGACGAGGCGATGGTCGGTCCACCCGTCAGCACACGGAATCGCTTTTGTCACCAGCACCTCCCGCTGCTCTCGCCTTCGGACGAAGACATAGTGCAGCAGGTGCCACTGACGCGACCGAGGATGCCTCCAGATGGCCTTCTCTCGCTCCGACAGGCAGAAGAAGGCGTTGGTCAGGACGAGTCGGTGTTCCGTGCAGGTGCGAAGAAGGAGCAGACCATTATCTCTGGAGCCGTTGAGACCAGGGGAACCCAGCACTCCTCTCCAGACAGTATGGTCTGTGCCGATGCGGGCGTTGAAGTCACCAAGGACAATCAACTTGTTCGCCTTCGACACAGTCGCCAAGACGGCTTGCAGGTCCTCATAGAATTTGTCTCTTGCGGCGTCAGAGCTGGTCATCGGCGGAGCGTAGGCACTGATGATGGTGGCGAATTTGCCTCCCCAGAGAGGCAGGCGGAGGCTCATAAGACGATCGTTGATGCCCTGCGGTAGACAGGGCAGTCGTCCCACGATGTCGTTCCGGATGGCGAGGACGACACCCGCGTCTCGTCGCTCTGCCCTGGGGCGACCGCTCTAGAAGGTGTAGCCGGCACCCACCTCCTCAAGTTGGCCTTGTTCGGAGAACAAGGTCTCGCTGAGTGCGGCGATGTTCACCTTGTAGCGCGCCAGTTCCCGAGACACTACTACCGTTTCATTCCGGCCGATTGCTCCTCGGATTGTCTAAAAGAGAACGAACATTCCAGGCTGCCAAAGTGATCGGACTCACCTTACCAGTCTGGCGATTAGGGTGACAGGGACGTTGAGGAGAAGAGAGAGAATAGGCCGTAAGAGGAAGAGAGAGATGGGTGTTGCTTCGATTTTGGTTGTTTCGACAGTGAGTTTAGCTTCTGCGGACACGGGCAGCCTATAGACAGAGTAGTTCCTGGCAATTTTAGGGCATCTTTTCTAGCCCCTTCCCCCTCGTGGGGTTAACAGCGCACCCCTAAATAGGGCTGCTCGGTTATACCGGCCGGCTGCCGAACTCCACTATGGGCCATGACTTTACTCTAGTGAGAGATGGACCCGAATTAGCCTGGGACCTTGGGGGAGGGGAGAACTGAGTAGGAGGGAAGATACAACCAACAGAACGCCATAGGACTTACAGTTAGGATGGACAAGCAGACAGCCATCAGGCAGGTACAGCAATAAGTAGGGCAACATACAAAGTTCAGCACAATAACAGCTTGCTAGTAGTAAAGAGCAACACAAACAAACAGACACGAAGCAGCCAACAAGAGCTGCATACAGCATGCAACACTAACAGACAAGTAAAGAAACAGAGCAAACTTCACTTACCTGAGGATTCACTCACCTTGTGGCCTCCTGCGGTGGTTCAGACGGAGCCTCGTCTCAACGATGCCGACGCGAAGATTCATCCGGTCAGCGAAATTCACAGTACCGTGCGCGCAGATTCCCTACACGGACACCCTTACCTGGTTTAGCCCGCTTGTCGAGACGGTTACCGGGGTCTGGCCGCTGGGCAGAGCCCAGCTTTGGGGAGCCACAAGTAAGAGTTGGGTGTCATCAAATGGACACTAGGCGTAGTCTGATCCTGCAAGCAAGCGAGCGACCTACTACGACCATCACATGAACCCACTGCTGGACACCCCTACATCCCGGAATCATCTCTAATCCTTCTAACACAGTACTGTCAAAAAATGCAGTATGTGACCTATCTCATGAAATCTGATAACGGAAACTGATGGGAGAATTTCTGGACGTCTTTAACGTTGAGCATTTTATTCGCTCATCCACTTCCTTTAATAAAATGTCCTTTTCTTGTGTAGCAATTGTGTTTATGTAATTTTATCATGTAAACTATCAGTCGATTTTAGCGAAAATGGACGTTGGAATATATTCGTGCAATTTCCTATGCTAATTCATGTCCTATATTCCGGTTACGCATCTAAGCGACTTTTTCAGTGAAAAGATAGTAATTTAACCGCGAGAGTTTCAATAAACAGATCTAGCTGGACTAGAAAAATTATTTTATGTCCGATGTTAACCCTGGTAATCAACCTGCTAACAAAAAGGTTATTTTAAGAAAACCATTGGTTTATCAATTCCTAAGTGTCAAATTTGCAGTTTTGTGTGATTTGGTGTCCTAAAATGCAGTAATAACGCAGATAGGGATTCCTTCGTTTAAGTGGCTTGAAAGTCTTTTGCTATTTGGAAACTTCTACCTGATGTCACATAGACTGCCACCACGGAATGGTCATTTCCAGTTTTAAACATATGAAACACTGAAAAAGGAAGAGGTTCTTCGGAAAAAATCAAGTTGTACTCGTGAATTTTCGAATTGGTGACACCAACCCGTCGTCAGACGAAATGAAGAGAAAAGAGAGAGTGAGACAGTCACACTAGACTAATAGACTAGACAGGGCAAACATTGGCGGACGAACCATTAGCGTGTGAGGAGGGATGCGGGTAGGGAGTCATGCTGGGTTCTGAGCCGGGAGGGTAGGAAGGGGGGGGACCGTTACGGCTCCCGTGTTGGAGGGGAGGGAGAATGGTAGGTTGGCAGAACTGCGGGCGCCTGGATTAGCGGCTGCTGATGCGGCGTGGGGCTCGGCTTAGTGAGGCGTGATCTTAGGCCCTCATAATGGACGTCTAGGTCAACATGGCGGTTGATGCTATCCGCGTTAGAGTGCCATGCCTGTAGGAATTCTCTCGCCCGTTTTGTGTTGGCCGTGGCGATGACCTCGGTGTTATCCCAATTAAAACGGTGGTCGCACTGAAGTGCGTGTGCAAAGACGAGGGACAGTGGATCACGGCGACGGACAGCTAGTTTGTGTTCATTAATACGAGTTCCCAGGCGTCGTCCTGTATGACCAACATATACGCAGGGACAATTGGCACTCGGGATGCGATAAATGACGTTAGTCTGTTCCTCTTTGGGGATGGAATCCTTTACTCGAGTTAAGACTGTGCGCAGCGAGGATGCAGGCTTGTGGGAAACGCGAATACCGAACTGACTTAACTGACGGGCGATCATTTCTGAGGTCCCCTGCATATAGGGCAGGGAGAAGAATTTCCGCGTCACGGTTTCTCCATCTAAGGAGGGGTCTCGAGGTTGTGCCTGACGTCTGAGGCAGTTCTTCACGAAACTGACTGGGTATCCGTTAGATCGAAATAGCCGATATAGAAAGCCTAGTTCTTTCTTCAGCCGATCTTCATTGCTGCAATACCGGTAGGCCCGGTGGAAGAGGGTTCGGACGCAGCTTCTTTTGTGAGCCGCAGGGCGATTGCTTCCATAATTGAGGATGATCTCAGAATCAGACCCTTTTCTATGGACGCTGGTTGCGAGGTTACCGTCATCCAGCCTTTGTATTTTCACGTCCAGAAACGACAGACTGTCTCCTACTGCCTCTTCGCGGGTAAATTGTATGGCCGGAAAGACTTCATTCAGCCTCTGATGTAGCCTTTCGACGTCGCGGTTCTTTATTACGACAAAGGTGTCGTCTACATAGCGGAGCCACATTTTGGGGTTGAGAGTTTGAAAAACCTCATGTTCTAGTCGCTGTAGCACTAGTTCGGCGAATAGACCGGATATTGGGGAGCCCATTGGACTTCCCTTCACCTGTTGGTAGTACTTATTGTCGAACTTACAATAGTTCTTAAGGCACAGTTGGAGCAGTTCTATAACGTGGTGCGCTGGGATACCAACAGGATTGTCCTGTAGTCGTTGGGCTACGCAGTCAATTGCCAAGTCGTGCGGTATAGAAGAAAATAAGGCAACGACGTCAAAAGACAAGAAGCATTCATCAGTGCTTACATTGAGGCCGTCAATCCGGTTGAGGAATTCGTGGGAGCTGTTAATACTGTAGCGAGATCCGTGAGTTAGCGGCTTCAGATGCTTGTACAGCCACTTGACTAAATTGTAGGTAGGGGATCCGATGAGCGGTACTATAATCCAAACACTACATGTCGCCTTATGAAAACTTTTGTTCCTACGACGTCCTCATCGGTTGAAACCAAGCCAAATCCAGCTTTTCTTGTTGAATCCCATCTAATTTACTTCAAACAAATAAAAAACAGGAATCAGTGGAAAACTGTTTTGGAATCTACACCCAAAATGTTGGCAGCTGACAAACCGTCATATATGAAATCGCACTACTTAATAAATGATATTTAGATGTGAACTTCACTAAAACACTGTTATCAGACGTGTTTTTATGTCTACATTCATATTTACTACGTTTTTGGTATGGGAATACATTCTATACATCTAGAAACGAACTTTCCTTAGTTACAGCCATTTCTGACGTTCTCAGGATATTGCGCTTTTCAATATAAATCGGCATTTCTAAACAATGCAACACGGCCTTTAATATTTCTTTTTATGTTTTTATTTCTTTTAATCATGTACTTAATTAAACTAGACATTGGACTCATGAGATGGTGTCGATTTGCGAGTGACTGGCAATCATTCGTAAATTTCGACACATTTCATGAGTTAAGTCACTAACTGTAGCTAAGTAGACGCAGATGGTCACGTCGACCATTAGCGACAACCTTCTAGCTTACCCACTTGCACTCTGATTGGCTATTCGCTAAATAGCGCACGCTGTAAGCGGCCAACGCGCGGAAAGCAGGCAGCGCATAAGTATGCATTGCATAGCTTAGCCTTCCTCCGGCAACACGGGTAATCCGTTAGGGCGGAATTCGCTACGATACAGAGCGTATGCGAGATCGCACCCATTGCAAAGAAAGGAGTTTGTGCTTTTACGAAGATCATCGGAAATTACCAAACTGCGTATATCCTCCTAATTCGCCAGCTATTAACTTGCGCAGTGACACCTCTTGTGAAGAAATTTCATCGCCTCACATTTACATGCTTATTCCGCAAATGCAGCTTTTTCGATGATACGCGAAGAAGATGAGGTCAGTTAACGATTCGGTGTAGAGTGGAAAAATGCTGATTGGCTGATATTTTGCACAGCTTGAAAATGGGGGTGAAACTCGTTGTGCCAGAAAATCTTTTGTCGCCTGATATGAGCGACTTTGTGGACGATCGCAAAGCCGAAATCTTTGGAAACACGAAACTGTTTTCAGGGTGTTAAGTTTACTCCTCTCTTCAACACCACGTATTACTGATCCTCAACTAAGTGCTGGCTTAAATTGGATGAGAACAGCACGTTACGGTTTTGCAAAACAATTACACATTAAAACAGGGGAACACCAGCAGTTCATAAAATAAACCAGTTTTAAATGTCAACCTCATTGACTATTTGGAGTGTGCGTAAATCAACTATGGATCAACAGACAGGAGAAGTGATTGAAAACCGCCCGCCAACTGACTGGAGATTTCGGCATCGATCACGTGTTCGATGCATAAAGCCGATGAAAAGCTTGCGGTCTGGCAAAACACGCGGGAACAACAAATGTATCGCTTCGGAGATATTCCCTTCACTGTCTCAGGGGACGAAGACTGTTAAGTGATCAAGAAATATGAAGACGGTTGTCACCATCAAACATAGTGGGTTTTGAAGCTTAATACCGTAGGTAAGGGAGACAAAATTCCGTGTTCGGCGTTTATAATGAGCCAATAGAAGCGAAGAGCCGAGTCCCAGGAAGTAGTCTTGAAGAAGGAGACACGATCGCCGGGACAAGAGCTTTATTAGCCTGACGTTTCGGATTCCTACTCGAATCCATCATCAGAGACAAAAGAGCAGAAACGAGTGGTTGTTGTACAAGGGGCTGCGGTATTTATAGGATGCAGCAGCCATTCTACCGCATGCCTATGAACGTTCACGGCTTCCCCCTTCATCCGGGATTGTCACACTTGGGGTGATCATTGCTTGATGGCCGACACTCGAGTCGATAATTGCCGCAATTTCATCACGTGCGTTGGATGTTGGCGTGATGATTGCTCGACCATCTGATGCGTTGACCCGGGTGTTGGGAAGAGTGTTCACCAGTGCGCTCCCCGCGTGGCCAATTACTCCGCCTAGACGAAGTCTCAGCACGCTGTATTGAATGGGAAGATCGTTGCACTTGTTGATGGACTGGGGGCCAGTAAACCATGATTCCAGTAGCTCTCGGCTCACTCGGTTGTCACCTCTTGCGAGAATTTCGGCCTCATCGAATTTAAATGTGTGGCCGGGTCTCGCCGAATGAGCCGCAACTTGAGAGCTGGCGTCATTTCTGCGCACCGCTGCCGCGTGTTCGGCCATTCTCGTTCGGAGCTGTCTTCCGGTTTCTCCGACGTAGTTGCTTTGTCCGCAACTGCACCAGATCCGATAAACGACTCCAGACGTTTCTAGCCGTGGCAGTGGGTCTTTCGGTTTCATGATCAGACGCCTGATGGTTGCCTCCGGTCTGTGTGCCACTCCAACCCCAAGTGGTGCGAGAAGGCGGCCGACAGCTTCCGAAACGTTCTTGACATACGGAAGTGCCCGCCAAGACTTGGTGTCCGTGCGGTTAGGCCTTTCGTCCCTTTTGAGAGCAGACTTGAGTAACATCTGTCCCACTCTCACCCACCAGGGACCTCTGGCAGGACAGAGTCCGGACAATCGGAGGCCGGCTCGGGCACAGTGGTTGAAGATGCTAAACAACCCATCTACGTTTGCCACACACGACCTCGTCCCCTCACAAGGGACCATATTATCACGAAAAGGAGGCGGTTTGTATTCCATGTTAGTAGGAAAGGGTCGGATATGATCCTGCAGCCACACCTGAAATGGCTAAACCGCGACTGCCTGTAATACGGGAATGGTGGTAAAGGGGGTTTTATGGATGGGGTAGTCAGACACGCCAAATGGATGGCTGAGGAATTATAAACGAAAAAATGAACGTGTTAAGGTATACAGGGAAACTTTTGAAGAGATGAAGCTGAAGTGCAAATGATGAAAGCATGGTAGTGAATGTGGAACAGTCTACGGAAGAAGACGGTCAGCGCGAAGAACGTAAAATGCAGAGGGAAACGGCTGTAAGAATGTCAAAGGGTCTAAGGGCATTGAGCACTTGGTCTCAGCTGTGCCATTACGGCAACAAGGTACAGGAGCAATAAACACATGGTCTTGACTGTACCTTTGAAATACCTAGCTACTCGCTGGATTAGAAAGGAACGTCAGAGAATGCAGAACAAAAACGGAATGCAAGTGCATTGACCACTTGGACCCAACAGGCTTAGCCACTCATTGCATAAGAAAAGATGGATAGAGCTAGCACAAAGGGAACGGAAGAGATGCAAGTGCAATGAGCACTGGGGTGTGAACGCAGTTGTACGCGCACTGAACCTTGCCATTCACTTGATTAGAAAAGAAGCAAATGGCAGGAAGAACGTCAAAGCGGTCCATGTGCATCGACGATTTGGTCTCAACCGCGCCATCGTGGCAACAGGATCCAAGAGCATTAAGCACATGGTCTCAACTGCATCTTTGAAATGCCTAGCCTCGCCACTCGCTAGATTAGAAAAAGTCAAAGCAAGCAGGACGGAAACGGAATCCAGTTGCATTGAGTACTTGTGCACAACGGTGCCCTTGAAGCATCTACCCTAGTTATTCGTTAGATTAATAAAGAAGAAGAAGAGGCCATGCAGCCGTACGCGCCCCGAACCTTGCCACACACTGGATTAGGGGAGAAGGAAACGGCATCAAGAACGTCAAAGGGGTCGAAGGACATTGAGCCCACGGTCCTTACTGTACCTTTGAAATACCCAGCCCAGGCACTCACTGGATTATAGCAGAAGGAGTGGGCATGCAGAAGGGGGTTGGAGGGAGAGCGTTCCATGGCTGAGCAGTGCCTTGTAATAGTAAACCCTCACAACACAATCCCGCCTACTCAAAGTAATTCAGTAGCTCAGCAGTATCTTGTTCCTCAAGTACGGCTGCAGGACCATAGTGACGGAGCCCCCACTGCCGCCCTCACTCTCTCTTCCCTCTCCCGTGCATTGCTGGCAGGTAAGGCGCATGTATGTTTGAGCTCCTAGCACTGGTTCGTCAGTCTCTGTGTGGCTGATTAGCAAGTGACCGATCAGGCCGGTGCGTGAGGTAAATGTGGACGGGTAGCAGGGGCGCCAGCACCAATACGAGCACTCATACTACCCTGAAGGACGTTGCCACATTTGGCTGTCCGCAGCGTGGACTCAGCTTCAGCTTGCCCATTGCGACCACGCTTTCTCATCACGGAAGGGACTGGTCGGTCACCGTGACCGCTGAATCAGCATCTGGAGCCCAAATATATGCTCATAACACACACCTCACCTGCCCACACTGCTTAAGGGCATTCGACTATATGAGTTTTCTTAAAATCATTCGGTTAACATTGAAGTCCTGATCCCAACATCACTCCTCGCCTTACCCGCTAACACACATCTCCCTAGGCTACATATCAACCTATTCCAAAGCACGCGCATACACGCCACCCCCTTCCCGTGAATCTCTTGTGCAGTAAGCACGCTGTATGCTTCGTCTTTGAAGGCATGGCTGACTCAACGTCACACGTCGGAACGTGCAAATCCAGCGCACATGGGAAGCATGTCCCTTGGTATATGAGGCGAGGGTCAGGTCGTTTTTAGCACAGAGAAACGAGCTCAGTCAGTAACTGCGCCCAATCCCATCACCAGCTAACTCGAGTGCCCAGATCGCTGACCGGTTCACGGGGGTGAACTAAAAAAGAGACTGACATTAGGGAATCCATTCTCACGGCAAATTAGCGTCTTCCTCATTAGACCAAGTCTGACGAGCTTGAATCTGTCACAACGTGCTAGGAGTCGTAGTTTGGAAGGCGGCCACCTAACGAGACAACTCGGTCCTCATGGCGAGAACTATGGAGGAACTGAGGGATTGAGTCAGGCTGTAATGCCTCCTCAATTTGGTCTCTATGGCATTCTCACCCATGTAAAATCTGTATTGCCTTTACAGCAACCCAGCACATGTAGTGAGGACCACGCCGTGTGTTGCAGGCGTAGGTGAGCGATTTAACTTTGTTAGCCGTTGAGTTCACACTTTACTTCGCTCGTCTTGACATTGCCCTGTCCTCAGAGCGAAAAGTGCAATGGAAGGTAGTGTGTAATGGCCATACTTTGGGCGTCTGCTGCAGCACTGCGCCTCTTGCCTGTGCAACAGTCTGGTCCTCGGTAAATCACATCCGCTTCAACCGGTCAATCAACTTCAAGGCCGACTCAAACATGCCTCCGTACAGGGCGCTCTGATACCTGTACCGGTGGCACTCGGATGCCTGTTCTTTCGGTGTCTGACGCATGTCTTCGTCCGGCTGTCAACTTCCTCCAACCTCTTCCTCAACAATTCTCTACAGAACACAATGCTCTCTCTACTGGCGTCACGCGGTGAATATCGTCGTTCGCGACAGGCGGTTTGCAAGCCTTCAACCGACGATTTTAGCGTGTTTTTGTTTATGGTTAGAAACTGAGAGCTGGATATAAGGTGGGTAGTGCTCACTCTCTTCCTGGTCCGTTCCAGTGACATTGAGGTGCAGTGACTGGTGTGGCATCCGCTTCCATTTAACACGTGTATGTCGATGGTTGAGGATGTACGCAGACACATGGCAACCGACAAACGCATTACTTGTGCAAACGCTGCCCTGTTTTATCTTAATACAACAACGTAGTTCGTTTGCTCACATATAAACAAATATTTAGTAGTTCCATTAAACACTACGCAAGGTGAGGATAAACATGCTCATCTGAGGTATGTGCCCTTTCAGGATTTTCCTTTTTGGATTAGAGGGAATCGCCCATTTCTAACTTCGACCGTGAAAGGCTGCAGTGTATTCAAGATTGCTATTATTATCCTTATTATTCCAAACCACAGGTTTAATCAGAAATCGACTGTTCCGTTTTCCAGCATAGCTAATGGGTTACGACTTCTAACAGCTTAGAAGTACCAATTTACTAGGGATAGCGGGAAGTAATATCGTTTACGTGGTCCTAATTTGAATATAATTTATTAAGTGTTTATGTCTGCTCCATTTGAACTATGTGTCTTAGATTTCGACATAATTTCTTTTTTGAGGTTGGGCGTAGGGAAGTGAGAGACAAAGCCCTAAGGCAGTTATGTATTTCATTGTATGCTGTATGAATTTCGCGAGGGAAACAATCCAACAATAGTCATTAAGTTTGTGACGTTTGTCAGAGTTCCTTAAATGTTCACAAGTGCCAGCGCTGATTTGCAAAACTCCAGTCGAGCGTTTTTGACCTCTCTGTTATCCACCTTCCGGGATGATCATTGAAGCTAGATAACGACCTTTTGTGGACAACTGTTGAAACACATCCTCGCCAACCTCAAGAAATTATCAGAAAAACTAAATTCGTTATGGTCGACTGTTCAGGAACACCTTCAACAGATAGGGGTCAGTAGATAAGGGATTTGGGTCAGGTGCCAACTCTCAACGGAAAACAAAGTCCAGCGTTCAACAATCTGTATTTTTCTCTTAAAGAGACAAGAGGGAACCGTTTCCTCATCGGATTGCCACGGGAGATGAGAAATGAATTCGTAATGTCGAAACAAGCTCACATAGCGGTGGCTTTCCACGAGTCATACACCAGTTCCTACGCCGTAAATCAGGCCCATGCCCGAGAAAGTCTTGCTATGTGTTTGGTTGAGTATGGTAGGCATACTTCATTTTGAGCTACTGGAACAAAGTCAGGCTTAACATCAGACCTCTACTGCCAACAATCAGTGCAGTAAATGCTCTAATTACCTGAACTTCGAAGCCCCATCGGTGGCCGTTAGTTTAATCACATTTTGGTAAAGTGACCCACACAGATTACTGCAACGTATGGGATCCACCAATTTTGAGACAGTAAGTTGACTGTCCATGCAGGATTTCCCAAACAATCAAGTTACATTCCATCAGATGACTGCCCGGTTCACTTAATTAATTGGTGTTTTGGTAGATTTGAATAATTAGTTTGAGCCAACGCTCTAATCACCACCACCACCGCCGCTACCACCACCGAGTCTTCCGCAATTGGATCTAATGAATTATTTAAAACTGCCAAAAACACCAGTTAACAATCAGAACGTTTGAACAAAGTGCTTGCCGTTAGATATTCAGCGCTAGTCAATAGGAAAGGTGTCATCCAGCCTAACAGACCCAGAACGACATCCGAAATTTAGGGTGGGAACTTTTGTCCCATCTTCCCTATGCACCTGATTATCGTGCGTTTGAATCTCTGCAGCGTTTCATGGGCGAAAAAACCTTTCGAAACATCGACGTTGTCAACACTGAGCTCTCAGAATCCTCTAAATCGAAACAAACTTCCCTCCACGAAGAGGGTATTGAAAACTTAGTTACATGATAAGCAAAACAGATTGATAACGACTGCGATCATAAAACTGATCAACAATGAAACGTTTTCCGGTTGACTCTTTTCCCGCCATTTGTCAAAAAGGATATTGCTTCCCAGTTCCCCTAATATTTGCCAATTTTTAATTTTTGAAGAGTCAAATCGTCCTTGCTAAAAGTGGCTGTCGCGTAAATATCATCTTTCTAAGGTGTGACCTATGCATGTTCAACGCAGGCCTTGAAGAAGCGGTCCCCAAAGAATTTTCGCAGGGGTTTTAGAGAGCAGAGGCATGGCTAGATAAAATAATATTCTAATGAACCGTTAAGTTGTTGAACTCATCTCTGAGGTCTGCGTTAGAGGTAGGTAGGGGAAACTGTTATCTCTAAGGTATTTATGAAGATAGGATGCCCTACCTTTTGCTTTAATGTACCGTTTCTCAGGCTACACGTTAACAAAGTGGAAGGGCCATAGCAACTCCATAATCAAACTGCGCGTAACGAGGCGCCTAGAGTTGAAAAACATTTCGAAATGAAAGGACACTACCAACGAAGGTAGCGCAGACCAAAATGTTCGTCTGGGTACATTCGCAGAGGCCAGCGCCAACCAGCCACACCCGAAACCCTGGGGAACCCTGAAAGTTGACTATCCAGCACTGGCTAAAAGCTCCCCAGTCAAGCCATCACGAATGTTCAGCCATACGAGAGTGGCGCTGAATTAAGCATAGACGCTTTAGTCCCGTCTCTGGACCCGGGGTTCGAAGCCCCGACAGGTGGTCGCACAGCGAAGGGCAATCAGTAATTGGACAGCGAAAACCGGAATTTTCATTTTCGGCATTACTGCTTTAGGTACCTGATGGGCAACTGCCCGGATCCAAATCTCAGGTCCCTTGAGTTCTCGGGTGTGGCTGCTTTTTCCCCGTATTGCCTGACTGATTGCTCTTCAGTGCGCGGCAACCTGAGAGATCTTCCCATTTAAGGCTCCAATGCAAGGAGTCGCCCTGATCCACCCCGAGACGCTACATCAGTGAACGTCACTTTCTTCCCTCAACACAATTTCGCTCTTACTTGTTAGTACTTTTCACTATGGACTTCTTTCAAACTGGTTTTTGGCAATACAACGCTACCGGCCACCACCATAAAATTCGCAAGTTTACTCACTAACGGACCGTCTACGCTCACATTCACAAATATGAGCCGGCCTCCGTGACCAGAGAAAATAGAGATGGAGCCGTATTAGTAAATATGAGGTTAGGGGCAAAATCTGTTACTGATATTTACCAAGTTGGTAACGTGAACATGTTCGTCGTTATGACCCGATGACAGAACGAAATACGTGATTCCCGTTCCGGCTTTCAGTTCTTACTCTAGACACTCCGAGATCAGCAACTCAGCAATGACCAAACGAACAACTGCTAATTGAAATCTGCAGATCTTCTCGGCCGAGGACGGGGTACAGCTGGTCGATAACGGAAAATAATAAAAAAAGATTATTGCGGTGCCCCGGGTCCTTATCCCAAATACGAGCGAATATTGTACGATAACGCAACACCAACGATGGTTTTCTCGTCTGTTTTTTTCTACATGTTTTTCCACTCAAAGTAAAATAGGAAATCTTTACTTTATAGTAAACTACACATGCACGCGTGTAAACACGCGCAGGCATCTTCAAAGTCATACATAAACAGATCCGTCAGGTGGGTAAAAAAAGTACGGAATCGAGCAGCAAGTGTCGCTGTCTGCCAGGCGAAATGAAGTTTATTCACATATATCAATTGTAGAGGGTGACGGCGGTGTAGTATAAAAGGAGTGTACCAACGCTTTGCCTTGTGGAGGGGAATGCAATAGGGCCATGATGAAACTTGCGTCAGCGGACTTTTCGCCTACGGGGAAGAAAAAGAGTACACTTAGAAAACAAAACGGGAACTCTGGTCGAATTCACGGCCATTAAGAGCAAAGGGTGGAGTTTAGGGCGAATGCCTGCATACCGGCGGACGTGGGTGACGAGTTTAGGGCTGGTTACAATGGAAGGCAGGTGTGAAACGGTCGTCGTTTTTAGCGGGTTCAGAAAGTAGCCCAGAAAAGTTAAGACCACTTTCAAACTGAAGACGGTTACGACAGAATGGAGAAGCAATCAAGCGCACGCTAAACTGTGCGATCCCAAGTTTAAGTCTTGCATCCTGTTTGATCTGAAACAAGACAATGACGACTTTGCGCACTTTCGCAACTCCCACGCACCCATTTCAATATTCCCGCCAGAAAGCCAACGCCACCACTTTATTAAAGGTAGCCAACAGGTCAGCTTAAAGCACGACTCGAAACGGTTCGTAAAGAATAACAAGGCCCCTTCTAGTCACTGGATATGTCTTGTGTAAGCCAGCCAGAGCAGCCACTGAAGATCGAGGTGACTGATGTGGCACTGTATGACACACAACTGTGGCTTTGTGGGCCAAGAATAACCACACTAAGAATTATTTCAACGCTAGGGGTCCAGACTTCGAATTTCTTTTGATGCCAGCATGCTCTTATAGTAGGCTAATAGTGCAGTGAAGGTTAATAGCATAAGGACCAAATAACAAGGGCGATCTTTCGCTTGCCCCAAAAGCACGCTGTATCAGCCTACCATGAAAGAATTTTCTGTGCACAACGCGCATTTAAGAATACACAATAAAAAGGACGGGAAGTTACGTGGAAGCGCGCCCGGGAGGAGCACGTCTGGATGTCTTTGGCGACTTAGCTGCAGTCGACCTCAGTCTGGTCCCTGTTTCTGTTGATGACGCGGCAACAGAGGGCTTCGACTGTGAACTGGGTTTGGAACTGGAAACTGTAGCAGTAGCGGCGGTCTTTGGTACGGAACCAGCTGCCTCCTGGAAGTTCAATTTACCCTGCCGCAAATTAGAGGTTTTCTTGGGGACGCTGATCCCGTTGGCTTGTATGGGGGAAGAGGCGGGACTGACACTAGGGCAGGTGACGGTGTCTGCGGCTGTCGCCTGGGGAAGGTGGATGGGCGACGTAACTTTGCGTTTTTTCGAGCTGACGTCCACTGTCACGTCGGCAGTCTCCGTGACTTCAAGGTAATTTACGCTCTTCGGACCATTGGCTTCCAGGGAGGACTCCGGGTGCACGCGTTTCCGACCTTCACTCATGACTGCGCAGCAGAAGAAGAGGAAAGAAAGCCCAATGAAATGGTGCATGTTCGAGAGTTTGGCGAGCTAAATCAAGTCATGGCGGTCTGGAGTTTTTGAAACATTCCTTCTACGAAGAAAACTTCAGAAAAAGTGTGATGATGGAAGAAGCAGGATTTAATGACTTCAGTTAGTTTCACTAGGGCCGCCAACATGACGTGTGAAAGCGCCCATGCTCTTCTAGTTCGTGTAACGTCCGTTCAAGGCTGTCCACACATGTCAAACCCATTTAATTAAGGAAGTGCAAGAGTCGTAGTTATTCTAGAAAAGGTTAGATAGACTTACCGGCGTCATAAAAACCTGCTTTTCCATTATGCTGGCCTTAAGGTGATACCGAGAATGACAAATGAGACTGGAATGGCCATTCATGGCCCATTCGCTGTCGCCAGTCAGTCCTATTCAACTCCAGGTTTGGAGAACCTCCTCTCTCTCTCTCTCCACTCTCTCCTCTTCCCCCACCTGGTACAGGCGCCAAGACATGGTCAAGAAGACCGGAGGCGGGGAAGGGCACAGGTGGATGGCACTGTCGATCAACTTCACACCCCCTAGTCCACAACATACAATTGATCGGATTTTAACCAGAAGAAAACAGGAGGGGTTGGCACGGCTGGAGTAGCACCTAGGCGTGCCGCCACACCTGGCTCGGATCCCAAGGTATGGGAGTGCCATAACGGCCACATTAAGAAGCAAACATTGCAGTCTAACTCTTAGACCGCCAGTCGGCCACTCCACACAAAAACAACACTCGGCCGACTACGAGGTCCAAATTACCACGTCGGTTGGTAACCTTCCAAGCCACGGCTTTCAGCGCACCATGACAGCTTCAAGCACGTTAGGTTGTCGATAGTAAGGAAAATGCGCCGAGTCGTCGACTTCACGTCCTCTTCTTATTCCCAGGACATCCAGGAAGGCCAGCTGGTTGTTTTCCTCCTCCTCCTCCTCCTCCATCGTAAATTGAATGTCCGGGAAGACGGTGTTGAGACTTTCTTTGAATGTCAGCACCTGATCCCGTCCGATGACGACGAAGGTGTCATCCACACACAAAGAAAGTCTCAACACCGTCTTCCCGGACATTCAATTTACGATGGAGGAGGAGGAGGTGGAGGAGGAGGAGGAGGAGGAGGAGGAGGAGGAGGAGGAGGAGAAGGAGGAAAACAACCAGCTGGCCTTCCTGGATCTCCTCGTCTGCCGCAAAGATTGTGGTGGCCTAAAAACCAAAGTGTTCAGGAAAGCGACAAATACGACGCAAATAGTGAATTTCAACAGCAACCACCCAATCAGTCACAAACGCAGTTGCGTAAGGGCGCTATACCGGCGTGTTGTGACGCACTTCAGAGAAATGGAAGACAAGGTTGCTGAATTACAATATCTTCGACGGGTAATGAGAGACAATGGTTACCCGCGCAACTTTGTCAACCAGTGCATACGAAAACGACACCAGAGATCAAATCCAACCGGCCCCAAATTTTGGCGGGCTCTTCCGTACGTGAAGAACGTCTCGGAAGCCTTTAGTCGTCTTCTCACTCCACTTGGAGTTGGGGTTGCACACAGGCTGGAAGCGACCATCAGGCGCCATGTCATGAGGCCAAAAGACCCGCTGCCACGACAGGAAACGTCTGGAGTCGTTTACCGGATCTGATTTAGTTGCGGACAAAGCAACTATGTCGGAGAGACTGGAGGATTACTCCGTACGCGAATTGCCGAGCACGCACCAGCAGTGAGGTGGGGAGACGTTAGCTCTCAGGTGGCGGCACACTTGACGGGACCCAGCCATATTTTCAAATTTCAAGAGGTCAAAATCCTCGCAAGGGGTGACAACCGCTTGAGCCTCGAGCTGCTCGAGTCATGGTTCTCGGGCCCGCAATCCATCAACAAGCGCAATGACCTTCCGGTACCATAATCCGGGGTGAGATTTTCCCTGGGCAGGAGAATCAGTCACGTGGGAAGGGCGCGGGCGAGTAATTATCACGGTGACAGTGAGCCACTTTGCCGAGCAATCGTCACACCAGCATCGAGCACGGATGACGAAATCGCGGCAATTAACAACTCGGACTCGGACCGCCAAGCCACCGCCGCATCAATTACGACCCCAGCGGCGATTGTGAGAACTGTTAATTGCAGTGCGCATACGGTCCCACGGCAGCCACGTGCTATAAATACTGCACTTCTTGTGCCACCATCACCTTTATCTGCGAATGTCTCTGATGATGGATTCGAGTGAGAATCCGAAACGTCAGGCCAATAAATTTCTTGTTCCAGTGCTCGCATCATCGTCTTCTGAACTGCTACCTGGAACTCGCCTGTTCGTTTCTATCAGTACCTGCAGACTCTTTACTCCAACTCCTGGATCTCTGTCTGCACGCAAACTTTTCCTTCACCAAACAATGCTATCAACAATCGAAAGGCGATACCATATATTCACCCGTATCCAGTTTCGTGGCGAAGGTCATAATGAAGACATCAGAAGTTACGGCTCTACCCACAGTTAATCCAAAACTCCGGCTGCGCTATGTACAGTACATGACCTATGTCCTGGAACCTGATAACGGAAACTGATGTGAGAATTTCTGGAGGTGTTTAACTATGCGCACTTTGCCTGCTCATCCAGTGCCTTCAATGAAATGTCCTTTCCTTGTGGAGGAATTGTGTTTACGCAATTATATCCAGCAATATATCAATAAATTTTGGTGAAAATGGACGTTGCAATATATTCGTGCAACTACGTTTTTAACTCCTTGAAAGTTTTGCTTAATTAACACAGATATTGGATCGACGAATTGGTGTCGGTTTGTGAGTAATTGGCAATCATTTGCAAATTTCGACACATTTCATGAGTTAGGCCGCATACTGTAGATGACACTTGTCATCGTCAGGAAAAATCAGTTTAATCTGCTCCATACCGCTAGGGTCTACCAGATGAGTCATAAGCACTTCATCGAACCGAAGTCTATCAGTGCCTTGCCACCAGCCATTCGTTGTTGCTGCAGATCGGGGCTTTATTCACTTAGGAATGGGCGCACACCGTTCCACGGGCATCCCGAAGCAAACAAGATTCGAGGCACCGCTGAAGTTCGGCTCGATGAAGTGCCTATGACACAGGCGAATTTGTATCCAGCTTCAGCGTATTCAAGACAACTAGGGACATGTGGTCGCACCTTTTTACAGTTCCGCACAATTACTTCACGTCTGAGGGCGGCCTGGGGAATCAGAGTTGAATATTCACGAAATTGAGTTTGTAACCTTTCCTAAAGAACTTATTTCCTCCCTAGTATGCCAATTTCTATTTCATACGTAGTCAGTGAAATATTAGCCCAAATTCTTAAGTGCGATTTCGAGTGGGAAACATTAATTAGGTAGGACTGTAAGGTTGATTATATTGCGACGCAATCCCGTAGCATTAAAGACTCATCAAAGTGTTGTCTTTTGAATGCTCTTGGTTTCCGTCACCTGCTAAAACCACATGCGGCAAAAACGGATATTTAAGTAGTATGCATTTTGCCATCGGTTTTCAATACTCATGTAAATTCAAATATGCTTTGTAGAAAGCTCCATAAAAATATAACTGCTTATATTTATTTGGTAGCAAATCATATCGTCCTCAATTTTTGCGCCTGAAGAAAGGGTATCTTCTAGTCTTGAAGAAGTTCTCCAATTCCCGACTAATTTTGAATTCGATCTGCCGTTGCGCTGTTGCTTGGGACTTTCAGTCTACAAGCCGTATACTTACCGTGTAAAGAAGAACACATGTTCCTTTATGCTACTAAGAAAATACCATAGGGGGCTCATCAAGTGCTGCAACGAATGTGGCCTAATAAGGAACGTTATTAAACAGACAGATACGGCGCTATTCGGATGGAAATTGCACGACCCAAAAAACACATGATTGCAAATATTTTTAAAACCGAAAGATACCCTTTCTTCGAGTGTAAAATTTGCGAAAAATGTAATATGCCACCAAATGAGTACAAGAACGAATACTTTTGTGCGTGTTTTCTGGAAAAAGATATTTGAATTTACAAGGGTGTCGAAATTCGATGTAAAAATGCATTCTTCTTAAGTATTCATTTTTACCGAGTGTTTTTTGCAGAGAGCTGAAAAAAAGTGCATTAAAAAGTTGACATCCTGGCGTATCCAAAATATTACGAAATTATACCTCAAGATAATCACTACTACAGCCCGACCAAAGTAATTATTCCTAATCGAAAACGCATCTCAGAACTCGGGTTAACATTTAATAAGATCGGTCACTGATTTCAAGAACGGCACGATCACTCATCTCTACAAGCGGAATAGCAACCGCCAACTTTGCGACAACAACAGAGGCATCTCCCTCCTTAACATCGCCTGGAAAATCTTCGCTCTCATACTTCTCAACCGTCTGAACAACCATCTGGAAGAAGTCTCAAGCCGGAAATCCAGTGCGGCTTCCTTCGACATCGCGGCACCACCGACATGATTTTGGCCGCCCGCCAAATAAAGGAGAAATTTCAGAAGAAGTGGATCCAGCTATACTTCACCTTCGTTGGTTTGACGAAAGCCTTCGACACGGTGAATTGTGAAAGACTGTGCAAAATCATGAAGAAATTCGGCTGTTTCGAACGACCACTCAGATAGTGTGTCGGCTCCACGATGGCATGACTGCATGCGTCGCGGACACTAAAGCCGTCTCAGAGCCATTCGCAGTGACCAGCGGAGTGAAGCAGGGCTGCTTCCTCGCGCCTACCGTGACGAACTTCTGGTAGCGTGGATCCACGACTTCCTTCAATGAACTTCTCCCCCACAGAAGGGGATATGCAAAGGAGCATGGACCTTTTCGCCGCAGCCCGCGACAAATTTGGCCTCAAAACGATGGTTACGCACCAATCGCCACCAAACGCTGGATACAACCCTCCACGGATCACAGTCAAAGACAACCAACTCCAACCCGTGGACAACTTCGCCTATCTAGGAAGCCCACTCTTCCACAACATAAAAATCGACGATAAGGTAGCCGCCGGCTCTCCCAAGTCAGCCCTTCCCTCGGCCGCTTCAAGCCCCTGTGTAAAATCGGCACGGTCTTCAACTTAACACCAAATTTTATATGTACAAGGAAGTCGTCCAGACGACACTCCTGTACGGAGCGGAGATCTGTAACGCCTACGCAAGCCATACCAGGAAGCTAAACCACTTCCACCCTAACTTCGCATAACGCTGAAGTTGAGATGGCAAGACAGGATCCTGAACACGGACAGGAATCCTCAGTATCCACGCCATGCTGAGGCAACTGCAACAGCGATGGAATGACCATCTGGTGAGAATGTACGGTGGTCGCTTACCAAAACAACTTTTCTACGGAGATGTCGCCATGAGTGCTTGCCGACTGAGAGGGCCAAACGACGCCACAAGGACACTCTGAAGACTTCCTCGAAACACCTGAAGATCAATCCGACCAACTGGGAAGACCTCGCCCGGAGCCAACAGGCCTGGAGGAGGACGGTGAAAACAGGAGCAGCGATCTACTAAGCCAACCGCGTAGGTGCATTCCCCTCGCAGTGATAGCACTCAACTGCCCCCAACATGCCCTCGGTGTCAGTGAGCCTTCCGGGCACAAATCAGTCTTAGTGGACATCTGTGAACCGACTGCAGCACCCGGACGTCACCACCTGATGCATCCCCGTCCACCTCTACACCGCCCCCACGTCGACAATCATCCATAACCATGCTCCTAATCTTCCGTAATCATCTCCCATCATCTTCCCCGCTTCAGCCTCTGCTGCGGAGGATCCTGTCCCCACCACACCTGCACACAACCCTGACACGCCGTCAAGCATCAACCTCACCATCGTGATGTGAACTCGGTCCAGGTCTGTCTCCATTGCGATCGCACATTCACTTGACACATTAGACTGATCGGTTGCTTGTGAAGCCATCGCACAGAGACTGACGAACTCGTGCCTCGAGTACCCACATACACTGGACGCATTCTCCTCCACTGTCAACAATGCTCACGCACATTCAACCACCGCATCGGCCGATTAGGTCCCATGTGCATTCACGAAAACATACGGTAGACAACCGCTGGCTACACCGCACCACACCTTACTCCACCAGCACCCGCACCATACAACATCACTCATTACCACACAATTCAAGCACGCAAATCGCACCTCCCACGCAAGTGAGAAGTGTGCTTCTCTACTCTTTTTGTCCATGCGACTCCACCGCTGCATATGTGGTCCGAGTCTCAGACTATAATGGGGCGCCAAGCGCCGTGGCTTGGAAGGCTGCCGACTAACGCCTCAACTCAGTCCACGCAGTTCGCCCAGCAGTGTGTGCTTGTTTGGAGCGCCGGACTGATGGGCCGAGAGTCAGGCTGCCACGGCTCCTTCTTAACGTGGCCTCCGGCACTCTCAGGCATGTTAGGGGTGTGCGTATACGAGAAGTGCCTCTGAGTCAATGACTGACTGGTTACCCAACCTCTGAAGGCAGATGGCCCACGCTAAGTGCAGGACTGCGTTCCACCCTTCAAGGCCTTAAGAACTGTATGCATCTGCTACGCCGCGACCCAGTAAAACATGGCCCTCGTAGTCGGGTGTGCGCTGACGGCACTCTGACACCTGGTTCCCTGCCGGTGGTAGGGCTTGCGCTCCCGCTGAGTATACAGGTATTGTGCACGGTTGCCCAGTCATCCACGTCGTCTTTCCGACCCGTTGCTGTGCTGTTGTTGTTGGTTGAAATCCTGTTCAATTGTTGTCAACCAGGGGGGTGCGGTGGTACGCCAGGTGCGTGTCCGGCCGTGCCAGCCATCTGCGCCCTCTTCCGTCTCCCGTCTTCTTGACTATGTCTTGACACCGGGTAAAGACAGGGGTGGAAGCAGAGAGTTCGGTAGATGCTGTGCAAGTCTACTAGCACTATCGACTAATACACGCAAAAGTCACCGTGCCTGCTTTCGTCTTGCTGAGGAGCAAACGGTGGACATCGTCGGCAACGACAGTTGAACTGTCATATATACACATGCAGTACGTGACCTATCTCATGAAATCTGATAACGGAAACTGATGAGAGAATTTCTGGACGTCTTTAACGTTAAGCATTTTATTCGCTCATCCACTTTCTTAAATAAACTGTCCTTTTCTTGTGCAGAAATTGTGTTAATGTAATTTTATCATGTAAAATATCAGTCGATTTTAGCGAAACTGGACGTTGGAATATATTCGTGCAATTTCCTGTGCTCATACATGTCCTAGACTCCGGTTACGCATCTGAGGGACTTTTTCATTGAAAGGATAGTAACTTACCCGCGAGAGTTTCAATAAACAGATTTAGCCGAACTTGAAAATCTATTTTATGTCCGATGTTAACCACGGTGATCAACCTGGTAACACAAAGGTTATTTTAAGAAAACCAGAGGTTTTATCAGTTCCTAAATGTCAAATTAGCAGATCTGTGGGATTTGGTGCCCTAATGTGCAGTAATAACGCACATAGGGATTCCTTCGTTTAAGTGGCTTGAAAGTCTTTTGTTATTTGGAAAATTCTCCCTGAGGTCACATAGATGACCACCACGGAACGGTCATTTCTAGCTTTAAACATATGAAACACTAATTGTCGTGTAGTTTGGCTTCTGTGCATATTTTATTGGGAAATAGGACGAGCAAAACATTTATAGTTTCAGCAAAATATCACTATTCATATGGACGCTCTGCCGTGCATTCATAATCGAAGCAAGCAAAAACAGCGGAAATGGCCTCAATGTATAGAGGAAGGCGTGGTCTGACGTTCAGGGTATAAAAATATTAGTACTTCTAAAGAACGTGAAAGAAATGGCCAAAAGTGTCAAATTCTAACTTGACCTCGCTGTGCAAAAATGCAAAGTACACAAAGATCCGTCAACGGGGTGCAGTAATAAAGCACTTCTTAAAGAGGTAACTTATTAAGGAAAGTTCTCTTATTTATCGAGGACATATTCGTTGCTGACTTTCGTTGTGGACAAACATTTTTGAGAAAAATGAAGTTTGATGTTTAAATGAGTTTTCACATGTGACCCAAACGACCATCTTCGTGAAAAGGAGAGCCCGAACACTCACTAATTCGGTAAACGCCTTCAAGTATAATCTTATGTTAAAGTTCTCAACAGACAGGTGATTCAGAATCTGTCTTTATGGAAGACCGGGTGCAACACACTGAAAATCATGAAGAATTCAGCAACATTTCGAGGACCATCTGAAACTCAACGTAATCCAAAACGAACGAGAAGTGTAAATTAATTTAACGGAAGAAAAGTTCTCTCTATAAACAAAAAATAGTATGTTTAATTTCACGCCTGTCGGGTGTATTTAAATTTATTAGGCACCGACCGGCCTCATGGCACGTCACCTTATGAAAACTTTTGTTCCTACGACGTCCCCATCGGTGAAATAAAGCAAAATCCAGCTTCTCTTGTTGAACCCCATCTCATTTACACCAAGGAAATGAAATTAGAAACGAAACACTGGAAAATTGTTTTGGAATCTACACCCGGAATGGTGGCTGTTGACAAACCGTCATATATGAAATCGCACTACTTAGTAAAAGATATGTAGATGTAAACTTCACTAAAACACTGTTATCAGACGTTATTTTATGTCAACATTCATATTTACTACGTTTTTGGCATGAGAATACATCCTATACATCTAGAAACGAACTTTCCTTAATAAGAGCCATTTCTGACGTTTTCGGGATACTGCGCTTTTCAAAATAAATTGACATTTCTAGACAACGCAGCACTGACTTTAATATTTCTTCGACGTTTTTAATTCTTTTGAACTTGTACTTAATAAACATAGACATTTGACTCATGAAATGGTGTCGGTTTGCGAGTGATTGGAAATCTTTCGTAAATTTCGACACATTTCATGAGCTAGGTCACGCACTGTATGGTAGATGACCTAACTGATAAAACGTCGACATCGCTATCGGTGTTGGCGGCACGGCATATATCTGGCGTGATTCGTTTTGTTTTTAGAATTGAGTAAAATCTCAGAAAGCCTTTTCTAAGGATGAATTTACGTTAGGTATGTTTTATTGAGGGAAAACAGGCCAAGATTAGGCAAGATTGGACGTTTCCGGATACTCACGTAATTTCTTATGCTATCAAGTATCACGTATTTAAACGTCTTACTTGCTTACGTTTCGTTTTAAAGGGAAATTCATATAACCAAGAAATTTTTCAAAGAAATGCACTCTGAAAATGGAAATTGTGATTTTGAATTTATGAAAGTCAATTGAACGCAAGTATGTAAAAACTTATTCTTTTAAAGACATTTTGCTTCTTACCAATTCGAATTAGCAAAATTGTAATGCTTAATGTCATTAAACGCAGTACTAAGCATGTTTGACAGTATTTATCTTACCACACCGGAAATTATTAAGTGCTAAATGCTCCCACCTCTCAATGCCACGCCGCACAACAAAGATGTCAAAGTACTTCCTACTGTAAGTTGATTTTGAGCGCATACTAAAATTGGCGACTGAAAGGCTGCCGCGTGAGTCGATATCTAGTATCGTCAATACTAAACATGTTATTCCCTGGAGAATTATTAATAAAAAACAGTACCTACAGTTAAACAAGGTGGACCAAAACGCTCCACAAATAGACAAGACAACGATTTTATCTGTCGAACACTAAAAAAGTGTCATCATATGACCCTTAAGACTATTCACAGGAAACATCTGTAAATGTTTCCTTAGCGCAGTTAGAATTTCGATTCAGCTTACAACTATGATCAAATATTTTAGAAAACAGCCAGCCTCTCCACCTGCAGCCAAAATTTTGAAGCCCGGTCGTTTTTTTAACGCAGTATAACTGTCGTGGATGTGGGATGAGCGGTTCGTGCGCTACAACGATTTCAGTTTGCAGTTCGTCACCTTTCATCAGATACACACACATAAACATTTATAACTAACCCGGTACCGTACGTGGGTGTCGGCTATCAGGCACAGAGAGTTGATTTACACTGGTAGCAGTCGAAATTTCAACCTCTACGAAGCCCACTATCTGGGATTCTGGCTGCTCCTCCTCATCCAGATCGACATGAGGTGAGGATG